GGAACTGATGCCTCACAGTCCATTTTAGTCACTTTCTTAGCATAACTCCACATTATTTTGCAGAATGGTTAGGCTAATTTATATTTCTACCAGTAGTACATGAGTGTGTCTACCTTTCCACCAACCCTCTGACGTTGGCTCTTCACGTCTTTGGTCCTCTTGGCCAGTTTGCTGGGGGCGAGGTGAAGCCCCACATTGTTTTGGTGTGTATTTCTCTTAATATCAGTGAGTTATATTTTAACATGATCTTTAATAGCTTGTCCTTCTTTTGAGGATTGTTTATATCTTTTAACCACTTGTCTCCTGGGGGATGCCCAGCTGTGTATATAGCTATGTGCATTGGGGATATCACACCCTTCCTTATCAAAGATATTTGATAGAAAGATTTTTTTTCTTACTCAACCACTTTCCTCCTTATCCTTGTTCATTATTTTGTTGAGTCACTCACAATTTTGTTGTCAGAAATTAATTCTTAAGAATTATCTCATCCTTCTTTGAGTAATTTTTTTGTCTTAGATTCAGAAGCCCTGGGACCACACCTCTCTTTTATCAGAACATTTGGAATATATTTCCATTGAGGAAGCATGTCAGACTGTGTAATTTTCCACCCCCTTAGCATCACATCATCTAGGATGACATGGTTGAACATAGCACTTATTCGTGTAAAAAGTTTGGAAAAAAAAAAACCTACCCTAAACACAGCCTTGACACTACATCTTCAGTATGACCAAAAGCGTATATTGATTCAGTCCATAAGTATGTATTAATGCCTGATGTATGCTAGGCACTATATTCAGCTCTGGCAATTGAGGCAAAAGCCCAACAGTCCTTTCCCTCGAAGAGTTTATATTCCAACAGGTGGGGAAGACAACATGTGCATATGTGATAGAGGAATCAGTAGAGCTCTCTTCCTGGAGAAGGTGGTGCGTAAGCTGAGTCTTGAAGGAATTCCTGAGCTAGCAAGAGGCAGAGATGAGAGGGGTAGGGGTGTTCCAAGCATGAGGGCCAACCAGTGCAAAGTTTTGGAGATGGGAAACGGAGAGTGGATGACGGGCACGGCATGCAAGCTGCTCCAGATGCTGGAGTCATCTGCACAGAGATAGCCATTGAGCCCATGAGGAGAAGAGAAAAGAGTGTCTCAGACAGAGCCTTTGGGTGCACTCAGTGGGCAGGCATCTTTTCTGATGCCCCAGAAAAGGAAGGGCATGGAGGACTGGGAGGAGCATTGTCACAGATACCCCGAGAAGAGAGAACACACCAGTGACCAGAGGAGTGGTCAGGTGGAACCTAGACTGAAGAAAGGCAGTCAGATTGGGTCGTGCAGAGATCTCTGGAGAGCTGCCAGATGGCAGGGGGCTCGGACAACAGTGAGAGGAAGGATGCAGAGGAGTTTTACAGAGAAAGGAAAGACAGGGGCAGCTGGGTGGCGCAGTGGATAGAGCACCGGCCCTGGATTCAGGAGGACCTGAGTTCAAATCCAGCCTCAGACATATAACACTTACTAGCTGTGTGACCCTGGGCACAACAACCACCCCCCCCCAAAAAAAATAAAAAAAACAGAGAAAGGAAAGACAGAGAACAGCGTCTAGCAGGGAGGGTAGGGTTTTTAATTATCAGAGGGGCTTTCTTTCTCTCTCTTTTTTTTTAAAGGCAATTGGGGTTAAGTGACTTGCCCAGGGTCACACAGCTAGTATGTGTTAAGTGTTTGGTCTGAGGCCAGATTTGAACTCAGGTCCTCCTGACTTCAGGGCCGGTACTCTATCCACTGTGCCACCTAGCTGCCCCAGTTATCAGAGGGGCTTGAGTGTGTTGTGGGCATCAGGGAAGGAACCAGGATATAGGGAAAGACTGAGCATTAGAGAGACCCAGAGGGGCTGAATGGGGGCAGTCTTCTGGAGAAGGTGGGAGTGGAAGGGATCAAAGGCCCAGTGTGGAAGGGCTGGCCTTGACATGGAGAAAGGTCATCTTCTTTGAGAGTGAAGTCCTGGAGGAAGTGGTGGAGACAGGGTCTAGGCTGGGAGAAGAAGAGGCAGCTTGTGGTAGATGGCCTGGATTTTCTCAGTAAGGTAGGTGAGGTTGTTGCCTGGGACTATGTGAGCAGAGTGTGCAGGGGGAGGCTTAGGCAGAGAAGGCTTGGATCTGCTCTGGTGGTGAAAGGGCCTGACTCAGAAGGCAGTGGAAACTTTGATGGATAAGGAAATGCAGACGGGTGTAGAGAGAGGGTGTTCTTTTCTCTAGGCTTTGTTTTAGAAGTGCTCGCCAGCCGTAGCAGTATAAGAAGAAATATCCAAAGTGTAGACTGCTCCCTATCCTCTCAGACAAGTCTTCCCAGGTTTCTTTGAAACCTTCCCCTTCATTATTTCTTAAGGCACGATATAGTATTTTCAGTACATTAAGATATGGTAATTTATTCATCCATTTCTTGAATGATGGGTACTACCTTAGTTTCCAGTTCTTTGCCACCATAAAAAAGAACTGCTATAAATATTTGTGTATACATGGGTCCTTTTTCTTTGATCTCTTTGGGGTGTAGACCTAGTAACAGTATTGCTGGGTCAAGAAATATGCATGGTTCAGTGATTTTTCTGAATCTTACTTAAAATTACTACAAAATTTATAGAGAATTTGAGGGTCAGCCTACAAAGGCACTTAAAAGGGGTGTGTGTGTGTGTGTGTGTGTGTGTGTGTGTGTGTGTATAAACTATAAAGCCCTCTTTACAGGAATAAAAGCATTAAAGAATTGTGGATTTACTGATTATGTTTAGGTCATGCCAACATAATGAAAATGTCGATGTGACCTAAATTAGCTGACAAATTTAGTGTTATACCAGTTAGATTTCTTGAGGGATTCTTTTTTGAACTAGACACAGTGACCACATTTGGTAGAATCAAAGTCAAGAGTCTCAAGGGGAATAGTGGAAAAGGCTTGAACAAAGAGGGCATAGGCTTACCAGGCCTAAAACTGTACTATATAGCGGTGGTCACCAAACTCTGGTACCAGTAAAAATAAAAAAGGAGATCAGCAAGAAACAGAAACACCCAGAAACAGTAGCCTGGTGATTGTGAAGTCCATAAATTAGGGGGCGCGGCACGTCGCTCTGACGCTTCTCAGCTGGTTAACCAAGGGTATGTCTAAATTTCTCTGAGTCTGATTCCTCAACCATAAAGTGGGTTGGTCAGCCCTGTGGTATCTCCTCCTCACAGGGTGGTTGTGAGGCTCACATGAGCTCGTGTCTGCAAGTATCTGTTGTTAGCGTGGTGTCTGTTGGAAGTTGCTGGTCTTCTGACCTAGGTGGTAGCAGCTTGGATACGTATCTGGGGGTGACAGGTGGGGGCAAAATCCACGATGAGGCTCCAGTTTGAGAGGGAAAAGAGGACTGAGGGCTTGTGGATGAGGAAAAGCTTTGTCTTCCATGAGAGAGCGAGACCAAGTACTAGGATGGATCGAGCACAGAACAGCCATCACGGAAAGAAAGGCGATGGATTGTCGTGGGCAAGAGCATGGTGGTTATTGATGCAGAAAGCATAGAAGAAGCAACTGCCTTGTCTGTGTGCAGCCAAACCACTGGCCAGTAAAACTCGGCCTCCGATTGATTAGAAGGGAGAACAAGTGAGAAGGCGCTGAGCAGCAGCAGTAGCTTCAGCCTGACCTAGTCAAAGGAACTGTCAGTGCTGAGAAATGGAAAAGAGGCAAAGATGGCTTGGGGTGGAGCTTTTGTAGGAAATGATGATACAGTAGTTTTTGCAGTGAGGCGACTAAAGGAGCCCAGTACCCACCTCCCCCGGCAAGCCCGCCAGGCCCTTCTCAGGCTTCCTGCCCCAGGACCTGACAGTCTTGTGGCCAGCACTTCGCAGGGCCACAGATCTGGAAGTGGAGGCGACCTCAGAGGCCGGTGAATCCAGCCCTCTTGGGTCCTCCCACTCCAGAGTCCAGACTGTTTTGTGCAAGATGATGAATTCAGTAGATCAGTGGATGCATGTACTTGGAATAAGCACTTACGGATGGATGAGGGGAGAAGACGGTTCCCATAAAGAAGCACAGTACAAAATAGGTCCACAGAAATCATTAGCGTTTCCACACAGCAGCAGCCCTAGGAAGGTCCTAGAATTACAGAGCAGGAGGAGGGCAGGGTGGGCTGCAACTGGAAAAGTGCATGGTTTTCCTCAGAGTTCCAGGCTGCCTCCTGGCACAGAGCCACCTGATGTTCTCTTTATCGTGATGTGACCCCGTGATTTCTGACTAGACCTGGCTGCTGCTGAACAAAGAACAGTGAAGGATACATGGGGGAAGCCAGTAGGTTGTGCACAAGTGGTGTGGCGTGTCCCCAGGCATGATCAGATGGAGGCTCTGAGGCCTGTGGTTCTATCCGTTGGCATGGAGGGGACGTGCTCATGCCACTCCTACAGCAGAAGCAGGGCTTGAAGCCGGGCTGTCCTGGCCATGAGGCTGACCCTGCCACCGCTCCACCCTCTCCATGCTCTCCATGCTCTCCTTTTTTTCCAGGTTGAGAATAGTGCCTGAATCTGAGGCTCTTCTTTATTACCTCGTGAACTATTTCAGGGAAAGAAATTTTGTTTGTTTCCATAAAGCCCTATTTACTGATGACCAAAGATGTCTTCTAAAGCAGCTGAGTGTCCAGTCTTTTCATGGAGCTGTGATCACCCAGGAAAGGTTACCTTGAGGGGACGAGAACCACTGGCATCTGAAATAGGAGAGTCAGACAGAATGTTGGAGTGGGAAGAACACTGGCGCGTTAGGGTTCAGGGTCCAGCTCCGCCATTAACCTGACGTTTCCTCTTGGACGAGCCATCAGACCTCTCCGTGCCAGTGTTTTCATCTGTAAAATGGGCAAAGGGTTGGATTAGATTAGCTCTAGGGTGCCTTCTGACTCCACTTTCTACGTTCTAGGAAGTATACAGTGAAATGACCAAATTGTAACATGAAGCATTGGCCCACTTTGGAGGTGATAATACATGACCTGTGATGCTTGCCTTGGCAGGTGGGACATGAAGATTTGGTAATGGAAGGGCATGGCAAGACTCCGCCTCCTGGTGAAGAAAGCCAACAGTGAGTCATGGTTTATTTTGTGAAAGCGTCTTGTGACACATTTTTGAAATGCGATTGTTAAGTCTATGAAAAGCGTGTTTGGGGGGGCTGGATGTGGGGGGAGTGTTTGTGTTGGTGAGTGCTCACCAGTGGCAGGGAGTGAGTGTGTTTGTATTTACGGGCCTGCTAACCTGCACAAGGGAGAAAGCTGAGTTTTTCCCATGGTTGACTAACCAGAATTGGTATTGTGTTTTAGCGAGGACTTCATGGATCAGAGTGTTCTAACCTGAGCCCATGAACTTTGGTTTAGATTACGGGTAGAAATAGAAAACAGTGTGCCGTTTTCACCAGACATGCCTGTGTGAAACCAGTCACCTGAGGAGGTGTTGGAAGAGCACTTCCTGAAATTCTGTTCCGCTTAGTTATGTGGCAAGGCTAATCTTTGTCTTAATAATAAGACATTTACAATGAAAAGGAATCAGTATTAGAAGTGGTACCATTTCTCTTAGATAGCATTTAGTGCAATTCTTGGCATCCCTTCTGTCTGTGGAACAATTTGGCTTTAGAAAGAAGAGGGGAGCCCAGGGCGGTCTATTTTCTATGACAGGTGAGGTTTTCCCTAGTTAAAATTGTAAGAAATTCTACAGCAGAACAAACTGATACTTTTGTGGAAGAATAGTTAAGATTATTTCCAGAGGCCTGAAGTCACTACCATATGTTTCTGTTCAAATGGATGCTCTGAACAGTTTTTCTAATTTGTAGAATTTGCGGAAAGTCTTTCAAGAGAGGTCCTTCTCATCTCCAGGTTAGTTTTGTTCTGTAGTGCTCATCTATGGGAGGTTAGTTTTACCTTGTTTTCTGACACTCTTTAAGAAAGAAGCACAGTCTGCTTCTACAGAAAATTCATTCCATGGAATTGGTTCTTTTTCTTGTGAGTAGAAACCTGGATCTCTTCACAGCTTTAGCTTTCTAAATGACATTCTGAATCAATCCCAGTTTTGTTCATATCCTGTCAGATGCACCTAGGTAGGGTCTTGCATCCATGGTGGTCTGATAGAATTAATGAAATTCTAAGCCAGGGTAACAGAGGGAATAATTGAGCCCTGTTAGAACTGAAGCAGATGTAGGAAATATTCAAGTTATTCTAATTTCTTCCTCCATTCCCTCCCTGTGCACTTTACGTCATAGAGTGATCATAACCCCCACCCCCAAAAGTCATATTCTTTGAGGCTGTTAAGATCCCAAAGACTGGACTCTGGGCCCCAAGTACCAGTTGCTGTGAGATCTGCTGCTGAGGGGTCGGGAAATGCCTCAAGTGATCCCCACTCATTAGAGCCACGTTTCCCACATGCAGTTTGTCTGTCAAGGCCACTGAAGGGTTAAGTGCTGTTGTGTTTGTTTGTGCATCAGTGCTGGACTGACCTTCAGGGTGAGGCCTAGCTGAGGTCTCAGATGAACCGCAGGCCTCTATCCTGGTGATGCCCACACGGTAGAATCAGAGTATGTATGTTAACAGACCGCATTGGCCTGCACAGAGAAGGTGCCCTAGGAAAGACTTGACTTTTGAGATGCAAGAGATTGTTTAGTGCCTTTTTGGACATTTGTCATTGATGTTGACGGAATTTCAGCCCATGTGGGATTGCAGGTTTAGGGGAGAAGGCAGAGGGGTGCTGCTTTTTTGCTTCATAAAAATCCTTTTTTATTTGTTTCGTGTAAAATGCTAAGAGGCCAGCTATGATTTAGAATTACTGCTTTCAAATTGTTTTACTTAGTATTTGTCTTCTGTGATCATTCTCTGATTACTCCTCTCTAAGATCTACCCCAGAAAAATCAAGCAAGCTGAGTTTATTACCATATAATTACTTCATTAAAATCTATAGCTTTAATCACATGGTATATAGAACACAGACGCAATTGTAACAACGAATACTGCTTTCAAGAAGGGGGAGCAGAAATTGTCTTCGAAGTTGTCTGAGCCTCCTCACTGAAGGTCGGGTCAAGAGGTTTATTCACAGCATTTCTTTGGCTGGGTGTTAGCTGGGCAGAGCACTTGGGTGAATGAAGGGGGTGATTTCGAACCTAAAGGTCAGCCTAGCTAGTTACCAGGTGACTTTGGGTCCCTGGTCCTCCCCTTTTCCAGGCTTAGAGCGGCCGGGAGCTCAGCCACCCGGCTGTCTGTTCTCCTTGTCTGGGCCCTGTCCTAGTTCACTTCATCTGCTAGGGGCAGGGCTTTGTATGGATTTGGATTTGGACTGACTGTCCTTTCTCTGGTGAATACTGATTGTTCTTTACCTGGCTTCTTTTTGAAATGTCTATTTTCTTAATAGCTTTTGTTATTTACCAAATTTACGGGACAGGGACCGTGCTTTCCTTAGTAGAGGAAACCCCTCTTCCCAGTCCCAGAGGCCAGTTCGCTCCTGCTCTCTAGTTTACTGTTTGCAAAGATTTTGCCCCAGCCCTGAGAAAGGTTAGTAGATTTTCCCACTGTCAGCTAGCTGGTAGGTATTGAACAACTTGAACCCTGCTCTTCCTTTTTCCTGAGGCCTCTCTTAGTAAAACAAATCTTAATTCCGGGGGTAAATCTCGCGTGAGTTAACTACTACTAATTATATAGTGTTGTCCCCGAGGCCGTGGTCTCCTCTGATTTCACTGTCTAAGGAGAATCTGTTCAGAATTTGAATGGACGTGCTACCTGAAAGGAAAGCTCCAGAAAGTTTTACGAGGCTGATTCAGAAAGAAGAATTGAGCCTGACACCGAGCCCAGGTCTTCGGACCCACGTGCAGTAGGGGGGACTTATGGTTTTAGTTCCTGTTTGGGATTTGAGTTCACTCTGATTTCATGGTAGAATTCTGTGCTAATTACGTTCTTCCTAACTTAGAGGTCTGCAATAAGAAAATGCCCATAGCAAAACCCAACCCGAAGGCCAGCCTTGCCCACTCTTCTGACTCTGGGGTGATCCCAGCCTCCTGTGCTCCCCCTCAGCACTTCACCTGCCCCTCGCTTCTCTCTGCGAGTAGCTTGACGTCACTGACGCGCCCTCTGCGTCTCCCGGGCATCGGTTCTGATTTGGTTTTGCGTCGTCTTGGCTTAGTTTCGTCCTTGCTCCTGGTGGCCGGTGCTGACACCTGGCCTGTGGAGAGAAGGCCTTAACCCCTTGTTCTTATTACCGATTGGCTCGCCTTCCATTTCCAAGATGCTCCTGTTTGTGTCCAGAGCATCTGTGGTCATTAGTGCGCTGCAGCCTACCTCTGGATCTTCGGGCCACAGGCCTAGAGCTGGCAGGGTGCAGGGGGCCCCTAATCCAGGCTTCTCAGTGGAGAGCTGAGGAATCGGAGGCCCTGTGAAGCAGGCGGTGAGTCGGCCAAGGGCACGCAGGGCTCAGCCTCAGCCTCATACCTTCGCTGAGCCCTGGTGCTCACTGAGTTTGTGGTTCTTTGGGCACAGTGGTATTCTGTGATTTGAGGCCGTACGGTACCATTGAGGCAGTCTGGGCAGGTTGAGGTTTCTGTGGGGAGTAGCTTAAGATGTTACAAAAGACATGCGCCATTTCCCCAACGTGCAGTACAGTTTGCAAGCATCTATTAAGGACTCGAGTGGTGTGGGCATACAAAGAAATGCACAAACAGTTCCTGCCTTCCAGGAGCCCTCGTTCTGACGGGGGAGACAGATAGCTTTTAAGTTAAGATATACAGAGAAGGTGCACACCGTTGATGTTAGTAGGATTTGAACTCAGGTCTTCCCGCCTCCAGGCCCAGAGCTCTAGCCACTGTGCCAACTAGTTGACTATTAGAGAACTAGCTGCCTCCTGTGGCATTCATCCCATTCCCAGTTTGCACACTTTCTCTCATGCCTAAATGCACAGATTAATGTTTTCCTGTTTCTTGAACAAGGGGCTGTGGAGCTACCTCATGAGATGGGCACTGATCTTGGTAGAATGCAGTGTCACACAGAGTGCACGTGTATATAGTCTGGGTACTCCAAGACAGGCCAGGCCAGACCAATGACTGAGTGAGTCGGACGTGTCCCCGGCGGGGTTAAGGGAGGCTTCTTGAGGATCCCAGGATCGGGGACTTTGAGTTGGTAGGGAGCTCCGAGGTCTCCCAGCCCAGCCCCCTGCTTCCTAGGTGAAGAGGCTGAGCCCGGAAGGAGGGAAGTGATTTGCCCGAGGAGCAGGCGTCTGAAGAGGCGTGATCCTGCCTGGCTGCCCGCTGGGCTGCCTCTCCCTCCCCCGTCCTTTCTCCTGTACTTTCTCTGGGCAAGATGAGGGATCATGGAGCAGGCTGCAGTGTGTGGTCATTAAAGATGCAGTGCTCTTCTCTTATTCCTTGGCCTAGACTCCACATCTCGCTGCCTCCCCTTCCTTTGATGTGCTTTCCCAGAGTGCCCCAGGCAACCAGGAGCATTCCTTCCAGGGGAGTCTTGTGTCTCTGAATGTCTGTACCACTCACTTAATCCAGTTCAGTTCAACAAACATTAAGCTCCTACTGTGTGCAAGACACTGGGCTAGCTTACATGGATCCCAAGGCAGATACTGCCTTTGAAAAGGTAGTCCTTGCCTACATTCTCCTGAGGGATTACAGCATGTGGCTGCTGTTCAGTCGTGTCCAACTCTTTGTTGACCCCACTTGGAGTTTTCTTGGCAGAAATACTGTAGTGGTTTGCCATTTCCAGATGAGGAAACTGAGGCAAACAGGGTTGACTTGCACAAGGTCACACAGCTAGGAAGTATCTGAGGCTGGATTTGAACTCAGGCAGAAGAGTCTTCCTGACTCCAGGCCCTGCTCTCTATCCACTGTGCCCCCTACCTGCCTCCAACACCACGAAAACAAATAAGTAAATAGAAGGAGACCACTTTTATGAAGAGTGATGTAGTGCTTGGGTTAATTTTTGCTTCTTTTGTGATATCTTCAGGTTTTAAGCCACTTTAGTTCTTCCTACTCTCTCTCTCCTTTAGGTCCATTCTCAACTCCTAAATTCCCCGCTCTTAGTTCTAGGAGGCCCCTTGACCTGACCAACTCCT